GCGGCTTGAAGGGAGACTGGCGCGGCCCCGGCCGCTGCGGAGATTGGGAGCCGTGGCACTGGGGGCGGGTCTGGGCTCCTGTTTAATCTCCGACTCCATTGGGATTACAGCCGAAGGATACTCTAATCTGCAGGGTTGCTCGGCGGGCACCAAGGGACTGCGGGGCTGGCAACTTTGGGCTGCTTACCCCAGGCCAGAGCAGAGGTGTCAGGCAGAGACAGGGGACAGGCGAGCAGGTAAGCGTCGTTGGCTGTCCCGGTCCCCTCTTGGGAACATCTGCAGACGCTCCTGTATGTTTTTCTCATCCTTTGGGAAACTCCGCATGGGTGCGATGGGATTTAAGGCTGCTGACGGTTTGGATTGCTAGCCCCCTCCCCCGTTTTCCCTGCAAAGCCAAGGCTGGGCTAATCCCTCCTGATCCATTTCCGTTCTTCCCTCAACCTGCCCCGTGCTGAGCACTGACTCCTCTCCTGTTCAGTGCCCCGTGTGAGGCAGCACAGGCTGGCTGGAAAGCTTTCGAGGTCGATGCAGGCTCTGGGGGCTGCATGCAGCACCCTGTGCTACCAGGGCTCCCTACTTTCCCTGTTCCTCTTTGCATTCTCCTCCCCTCACTTAGAAACGCTTCTTTCCAGCTATTCCCCTCAGTTGTCAGGGATGGGAATCGCAGAGCAGGACAAAACTTTTTGGTTCTGCCTTTGCCTGCAAGCTGTAGCTGGCTTGCAAAAAGGTACCGTGGGGGGCCCCCCTGCCAGGGAGCCAGTGCCGGGAGCCGTGCTGGAGCGGGGCCGTGGACAGGCTGTCATGGCCAGGGCAGCCCTGCAAAGCAGCAGTTTGCAGGTGGCAGAGCCGGAGCTTGGGGGCTGTTTGCTCTGCTTTTTTCTTCCATTTCCCTCTCCAGTGGCTGAAACCCTCCCACAATGTATAAAAATCCTGTGAATGCTCGTAAAAAGGCAGAGCCCTGCCTTGCTGTATTTGAACCCTAACAGGGCTGTTTTGCAAATAATAATAACCCCAAAAGCCCGTTTTCCACTTTAATTTTTAATTGGCTGTGAGAACAACATATGTTTCTTAGGCCTGGAAACTGTTGCAGCTGGGATCGGATGTCAGGGTGCTGTGGCAGTGCCTGGGGGCAAGGACCTGTGCTTGGCAGGGGTACGGCAGGGGAGAGCAACTGGTATCGGGGCAGCGGGCACCTCCAAGCTGCTATGCTGAGAGTGCCAGGCTGGCTGCTTCACTGTGCTGGGTGCTGCTGTGGGGCTAGGGGAGCAGGTCGGACAGGCGTGTATTTGCATCCTGCTGGCCAGAGTATTTATAGAGCCTGGCTGCTTGGGAAGGCAGCACAGAGGTGCAGAAAGGCGTGCGGTACATCGTGTTCCCCGCCAGCCACACGCTTCCCATGCCAGCCGGCAAAGGGGGCTGCTCTACCCGGCCCCCTCCAGAGCTGTTCGCACAAGCAAACCTGGCTTATCCTGGGTCGGCGGGGGACTTGTCGTCTTGGAAGCATCCAGCAAGAAAGAAAACTTTCCTGAGGGCAGAAATGTACTGGGAAACTGAGGCACTTGGGGCACTGCCTGGGGGTGCAGGCATCAGGGTCCCTGCTCCGGGCTGCTCTGAGGTAGGATGGATTTGTCTGAGCCCTGGGCAGCTGCAGGACTCCGTCAGGCCCCGGCACGTGGGAGGCAGAGGAGGCTGCTGGGGTAGAGGTGCAGCTGGGCAAGGGGTAGAGGACTTGCCAGCCGGCCGAGGCTGAGCCCGGGCACAGCTGTGCTGAGCTGCCGTGGAGGAGACGGGAATTTTCCACTGGCGTTTGGATCGGGCCCAAGCCAAGTGGTTAGATCTGCCTGGTCCCTGCTGGCTGTGGACTGCACACTTTCACCCCCAGAGTTCATTGAGGAAGGGGGAGAAAAAAAGGACAAAATCCCCTGGTGGGCCACCCAGTCCCCTCGCAGCAGCCCACCTGCTGCGGCAGCATCCGGAGGGGAGCTGGGGCCCCAGGGGCCACCTTCCCCGAGCATGAGAGCTGGCCGGGGATGCTTGGGGAGTCTGGGCAGCCCGGGGCGGCATGGGGGTGCCGTGGCCGCAGGGAGCCTGGCCAAAGCACAAAGGGCCCCGCAGCGCTGGCCACGTTGCAGCTGTAATCACACGCCGTGGCCGTGGCCACAGCAAACAAACAGGCACCGGCGGGACCTATTTTCCTTGGCGTGTTGGGACCAAGCAAAGGGCTGGGATCCCACAGGCTCCTCCGGAGACAGAGTCCTTGAGAAAACAGAGGCAAGGGCCTGAGTAGGTTAGGGGTGGGACGGGCTCCCTGCGCGCCCCTGCCCTCCTTGCCGTGTGGGTCTCAGCCGCCGCGCACGTCCCTGGCTGCCGTGGGGCTGCTGACGCAGGTCGGGGGCCAGTTGGGGGTCCCCGTGCCAGCAGGGGAGAGCCGGGCCAATCTACATATCCTCTGGTTTGGGATCAGACACCAGGGCCGCAGGACAGCCTAACGGTTAGGGCATGCAGGCCGAGGGCTGCGGCAGTCGCATGTAGGCTTGGGCAGTCTGCGTTCACACCTACGCACCAACGTCACCCAATCTGGGCAGGGTGCTGTGCTCGAGGGTGTTAAGGTGGTGGAGGGAAACACAAGGCTGTGGCTCACTCTGGGGACTTGTCCCCTCCTTGGTGTCCCCAGTGTCACGGAGAGGTGCTGGCCTGGAGCAAATCGCAGCCTTAATTTTTTTAATGTCAAACTTTTGCTCTGGATGTGCTTTAGGGAGCAAAAATCCTGCTGAGTATCTTGCCTCAAAGAACAAGTGTGTCTCTGGAGATGCAATGGAGAAGGTAAAACAGTTTATTCAGGCATCAGCTGCCCATTTAATCCAAAAAGGGCTGCCTTTATTTCGAGATGGCTCTGTCTTCCCAAAGGGCGGTTTATTGGCTTTAAACGTCTAGTTTGGAGCCAGGTGAAATGCTTTTGGCTGAACTACTCTTTCATTCTGCTTCTCCCAGATCCATGCTGGGTGTCCTGCCCCTTGCCCCCAGCTTGAGGATGCTTTGGGGGCCAGTGTAGCCACGGTCCAGCCCCTGTGCCCTGCTGGAGGCTGGTGCCTCGTTCCAGAGAGGCCTGTCCCAGGTGGCAGAGGTGCAGGCTCCTTGGCAGGATGGTGTTGGCTAGCCAGGAAAGGGGAGCTGTGCCCATCTGGTCCTCGTCCTTTTCCCTCAACCACCAGCTGCCTCTGCTGCCTGACCTTGTCCTCGCACAGTCCCGCGCCACCTCATCACCAGTCCTGCCATGGATTAAACACCTTCTTGCCACACCAGGTCACTTTAGCAGAAACCTGGGTGGTGATGGCCCTGGGCATGGCTTCCTGTGCCCCTGGCTGGCTTCAGGGCCCTGCCTCAGTTTCCCCTTCACTCTGCCCGTGGAAATAATAAGCCAGGCTGGGGCAGTGCCAAGGTGCTGGCAGCTTTTTGGCCATCCCTTCCTGGCTGTCCTCAATACCAGTTCTTGGATAAGTGAGGATCTGAGCTGATGGTGGCAGAGGCAGAGAAGGGAAAAGTGTAAACCAACCTGGGTAATGCAAGGCAGGACAGGCACCTGGGGCCAGCACCCACACGGCAGCCCCTCTCCCAGCTGCCCCACACCAGAGCTGTCCTGCACCCTGCACGGCAGCTCCGGCCCCTCGCAGCAGGACCCGGGGCTGTGCTGGTCATGCAGGAGGGGAGCCAAGGGTGGCTGGCGCACAGGGGCTGCTCCCCTCACTCCTCGCTGCAGCCTCCTCCACGGTGCGCACAGCAGGCAGGAAACCGCTGCAGTCGGAGCCGCCTAGGAGAGAAAGAGACGTGCTGTTGTTTCAGTGCTGGAAAATCCTCCTCACGGCCCTCAAAGCGCCAAGTCGACGGTGTGAACAGCCCACGGCTCCTCCGTGCATCATTTGCAGTGATGTTTAGCTCCACCACCCCTTTCTCTGTGGTGCTTTTCTCTTCTCCAGTGTGCAGTCAGCCCCCAGCACCATCCACCAGTCTGGGAGGGGGCAGAGGGAGACAGCCATGGACCAGCTAAGCTGCCCGCCTGCTGGGAATGTGTCCCCACATGGGCATATCCAAGGAGCAGTGGGATTGCTCAGTCCACCACGACGTCTTGCAATGGCTCCTCTGGCTACCCCGCACGCATCAGCATCCCCTGATTTGCAGCAGAACTGCAGGCCAGAGTTGGGGTGCTGCTGTCTCTTTGCCTTGCCTGGAAGCAAGGTGCCAGCAAAGCGTCACCCGGGCCAAGTGGTCAGTGTTGCTTGGACTTTCCATCCCTGCTGCTGCCTCTCTGATGCTTTCTCTACTGCTCCCCAAGGGCAGCCACCCGAGAGTCCATCAGCTCGCTGGGCTGATGGAGGTTATTCCTTATTTGGGGAGTTGTCTATGGGATCAGGAAGCTAACCTGACTCACCCCGCAGCTACGCAGGCTGGAGCATGTGGCTGGGACCAGGCACCCTGGTCCTGCTGGCAAAGGGCCATCAGGGAGAGTAGAGATCCCTGTGGGCTGGGGGACAGTGATGTGTGGGGAAGAGGGTCTCTGGGATTAGCCAGGCCTGTCTGGTAAACAGTAAATGGTGGGAGTGCTGCTAATTCAGAATGAACCCATCATTAAGCATAGCAATAGGGGCTTTACCAGCAGAGCAGCTCTGAGGAAAGAGCTCGAGTGGGTAAAGCTCTGAACACAGGGTGATGGGGTGAGCCAGCACTGCTCAGAGTGCTGCTATTAAATCTAACTTTTGAGTACCCTATCCACAGACATTTGCAGCAGCACTCAGGCTGCTTATTGAAAAGCTTTGGGAAGCCCCATTAGAGGCCCAGCCGTGGGAAGGCGGGATATACACGGCGATGTGGGGGGTCACACCAGCTGTTGGTTGGCCAGGGGGCCGAAGGTGCTCGGTAGGCTGTAGCCACCTGCTTCTCCAGCATGAATAGGCTGCATAGGTTGGGAGACGAGCCAGCCTACCAGCTCCTCTAGCCAGGCTGCCAGAGGCTTGCCAGCACGTGGCTGCAGGGTCAGGAGCGGGAGCAAAGGACATCCATGCAGGGGGACGGTGGCCATGGATGTTTGGGTGCATCACCAGACTGCCGCGTGATTGCCCGCCTCCGCTTGCTTAGAGCCGGCAGGCCATGCCGTTTCATCCTGCACTTCCAGCCTGGCCCGCCGGCTCTGATCTCTGTCTCCTTCCTCCTTGTGCTCCCTTTGAATCTCTCCCCCCAAAGA